ACCATGGTGAGGGCGAGGCATACCATGGTGAGGGCGAGGCATACCATGGTGAGGTCGAGGCATGCCATGGTGTGGGCGAGGCATACCATGGTGAGGGCGAGGCATACCATGGTGAGGGCGAGGCATACCATGGTGAGGGCGAGGCATACCATGGTGAGGTCGAGGCATACCATGGTGAGGTCGAGGCATACCATGGTGAGGGCGAGGCATACCATGGGGAGGGCGAGGCATACCATGGTGAGGGCGAGGCATACCATGGTGAGGGCGAGGCATACCATGGTGAGGGCGAGGCATACCATGGTGAGGGCGAGGCATACCATGGTGAGGGCGAGGCATACCATGGTGAGGTCGAGGCATGCCATGGTGAGGGCGAGGCATACCATGGTGAGGGCGAGGCATACCATGGTGAGGGCGAGGCATACCATGGTGAGGTCGAGGCATACCATGGTGAGGTCGAGGCATACCATGGTGAGGGCGAGGCATACCATGGGGAGGGCGAGGCATACCATGGTGAGGGCGAGGCATACCATGGTGAGGGCGAGGCATACCATGGTGAGGGCGAGGCATACCATGGTGAGGGCGAGGCATACCATGGTGAGGGCGAGGCATACCATGGGGAGGGCGAGGCATACCATGGTGAGGGCGAGGCATACCATGGTGAGGGCGAGGCATACCATGGTGAGGGCGAGGCATACCATGGGGAGGGCGAGGCATACCATGGTGAGGGCGAGGCATACCATGGTGAGGTCGAGGCATACCATGGTGAGGTCGAGGCATACCATGGTGAGGGCGAGGCATACCATGGGGAGGGCGAGGCATACCATGGTGAGGGCGAGGCATACCATGGTGAGGTCGAGGCATACCATGGTGAGGTCGAGGCATACCATGGTGAGGGCGAGGCATACCATGGTGAGGTCGAGGCATACCATGGTGAGGTCGAGGCATACCATGGTGAGGGCGAGGCATACCATGGGGAGGGCGAGGCATACCATGGTGAGGGCGAGGCATACCATGGTGAGGGCGAGGCATACCATGGTGAGGGCGAGGCATACCATGGTGAGGTCGAGGCATGCCATGGTGAGGGCGAGGCATACCATGGTGAGGGCGAGGCATACCATGGTGAGGGCGAGGCATACCATGGTGAGGTCGAGGCATACCATGGTGAGGTCGAGGCATACCATGGTGAGGGCGAGGCATACCATGGGGAGGGCGAGGCATACCATGGTGAGGGCGAGGCATACCATGGTGAGGGCGAGGCATACCATGGTGAGGGCGAGGCATACCATGGTGAGGGCGAGGCATACCATGGTGAGGGCGAGGCATACCATGGGGAGGGCGAGGCATACCATGGTGAGGGCGAGGCATACCATGGTGAGGTCGAGGCATACCATGGTGAGGTCGAGGCATACCATGGTGAGGGCGAGGCATACCATGGGGAGGGCGAGGCATACCATGGTGAGGGCGAGGCATACCATGGTGAGGGCGAGGCATACCATGGGGAGGGCGAGGCATACCATGGTGAGGGCGAGGCATACCATGGTGAGGGCGAGGCATACCATGGTGAGGGCGAGGCATACCATGGGGAGGGCGAGGCATACCATGGTGAGGGCGAGGCATACCATGGTGAGGTCGAGGCATACCATGGTGAGGTCGAGGCATACCATGGTGAGGGCGAGGCATACCATGGGGAGGGCGAGGCATACCATGGTGAGGGCGAGGCATACCATGGTGAGGTCGAGGCATACCATGGTGAGGTCGAGGCATACCATGGTGAGGGCGAGGCATACCATGGGGAGGGCGAGGCATACCATGGTGAGGGCGAGGCATACCATGGTGAGGTCGAGGCATACCATGGTGAGGTCGAGGCATACCATGGTGAGGGCGAGGCATACCATGGGGAGGGCGAGGCATACCATGGTGAGGGCGAGGCATACCATGGTGAGGTCGAGGCATACCATGGTGAGGTCGAGGCATACCATGGTGAGGGCGAGGCATACCATGGGGAGGGCGAGGCATACCATGGTGAGGGCGAGGCATACCATGGTGAGGGCGAGGCATACCATGGTGAGGGCGAGGCATACCATGGTGAGGGCGAGGCATACCATGGTGAGGGCGAGGCATACCATGGTGAGGGCGAGGCATACCATGGTGAGGGCGAGGCATACCATGGGGAGGGCGAGGCATACCATGGTGAGGGCGAGGCATACCATGGTGAGGGCGAGGCATACCATGGGGAGGGCGAGGCATACCATGGTGAGGGCGAGGCATACCATGGTGAGGGCGAGGCATACCATGGTGAGGGCGAGGCATACCATGGGGAGGGCGAGGCATACCATGGTGAGGGCGAGGCATACCATGGTGAGGTCGAGGCATACCATGGTGAGGTCGAGGCATACCATGGTGAGGGCGAGGCATACCATGGGGAGGGCGAGGCATACCATGGTGAGGGCGAGGCATACCATGGTGAGGTCGAGGCATACCATGGTGAGGTCGAGGCATACCATGGTGAGGGCGAGGCATACCATGGGGAGGGCGAGGCATACCATGGTGAGGGCGAGGCATACCATGGTGAGGTCGAGGCATACCATGGTGAGGTCGAGGCATACCATGGTGAGGGCGAGGCATACCATGGGGAGGGCGAGGCATACCATGGTGAGGGCGAGGCATACCATGGTGAGGTCGAGGCATACCATGGTGAGGTCGAGGCATACCATGGTGAGGGCGAGGCATACCATGGGGAGGGCGAGGCATACCATGGTGAGGGCGAGGCATACCATGGTGAGGGCGAGGCATACCATGGTGAGGGCGAGGCATACCATGGTGAGGGTGAGGCATACCATGGTGAGGGCGAGGCATACCATGGTGAGGGCGAGGCATACCATGGTGAGGGCGAGGCATACCATGGTGAGGGCGAGGCATACCATGGTGAGGGCGAGGCATACCATGGTGAGGGCGAGGCATACCATGGTGAGGGCGAGGCATACCATGGTGAGGGCGACGCATACCATGGTGAGGGCGAGGCATACCATGGTGAGGGCGAGGCATACCATGGTGAGGGCGAGGCATACCATGGTGAGGGCGAGGCATACCATGGTGAGGGCGAGGCATACCATGGTGAGGGCGAGGCATACCATGGGGAGGGCGAGGCATACCATGGTGAGGGCGAGGCATACCATGGTGAGGTCGAGGCATACCATGGTGAGGTCGAGGCATACCATGGTGAGGGCGAGGCATACCATGGGGAGGGCGAGGCATACCATGGTGAGGGCGAGGCATACCATGGTGAGGTCGAGGCATACCATGGTGAGGTCGAGGCATACCATGGTGAGGGCGAGGCATACCATGGTGAGGGCGAGGCATACCATGGTGAGGGCGAGGCATACCATGGTGAGGTCGAGGCATACCATGGTGAGGTCGAGGCATACCATGGTGAGGGCGAGGCATACCATGGGGAGGGCGAGGCATACCATGGTGAGGGCGAGGCATACCATGGTGAGGTCGAGGCATACCATGGTGAGGTCGAGGCATACCATGGGGAGGGCGAGGCATACCATGGTGAGGGCGAGGCATACCATGGTGAGGGCGAGGCATACCATGGGGAGGGCGAGGCATACCATGGTGAGGGCGAGGCATACCATGGTGAGGGCGAGGCATACCATGGTGAGGGCGAGGCATACCATGGTGAGGGTGAGGCATACCATGGTGAGGGCGAGGCATACCATGGTGAGGGCGAGGCATACCATGGTGAGGGCGAGGCATACCATGGTGAGGGCGAGGCATACCATGGTGAGGGCGAGGCATACCATGGTGAGGGCGAGGCATACCATGGTGAGGGCGAGGCATACCATGGTGAGGGCGAGGCATACCATGGTGAGGGCGAGGCATACCATGGTGAGGGCGAGGCATACCATGGTGAGGGCGAGGCATACCATGGTGAGGGCGAGGCATACCATGGTGAGGGCGAGGCATACCATGGTGAGGGCGAGGCATACCATGGGGAGGGCGAGGCATACCATGGTGAGGGCGAGGCATACCATGGTGAGGTCGAGGCATACCATGGTGAGGTCGAGGCATACCATGGTGAGGGCGAGGCATACCATGGGGAGGGCGAGGCATACCATGGTGAGGGCGAGGCATACCATGGTGAGGTCGAGGCATACCATGGTGAGGTCGAGGCATACCATGGTGAGGGCGAGGCATACCATGGTGAGGGCGAGGCATACCATGGTGAGGGCGAGGCATACCATGGTGAGGTCGAGGCATACCATGGTGAGGTCGAGGCATACCATGGTGAGGGCGAGGCATACCATGGGGAGGGCGAGGCATACCATGGTGAGGGCGAGGCATACCATGGTGAGGTCGAGGCATACCATGGTGAGGTCGAGGCATACCATGGGGAGGGCGAGGCATACCATGGTGAGGGCGAGGCATACCATGGTGAGGGCGAGGCATACCATGGTGAGGGCGAGGCATACCATGGTGAGGGTGAGGCATACCATGGTGAGGGCGAGGCATACCATGGTGAGGGCGAGGCATACCATGGTGAGGGCGAGGCATACCATGGTGAGGGCGAGGCATACCATGGTGAGGGCGAGGCATACCATGGTGAGGGCGAGGCATACCATGGTGAGGGCGAGGCATACCATGGTGAGGGCGAGGCATACCATGGTGAGGGCGAGGCATACCATGGTGAGGGCGAGGCATACCATGGTGAGGTCGAGGCATACCATGGTGAGGTCGAGGCATACCATGGGGAGGGCGAGGCATACCATGGTGAGGGCGAGGCATACCATGGTGAGGGCGAGGCATACCATGGTGAGGGCGAGGCATACCATGGTGAGGGTGAGGCATACCATGGTGAGGGCGAGGCATACCATGGTGAGGGCGAGGCATACCATGGTGAGGGCGAGGCATACCATGGTGAGGGCGAGGCATACCATGGTGAGGGCGAGGCATACCATGGTGAGGGCGAGGCATACCATGGTGAGGGCGAGGCATACCATGGTGAGGGCGAGGCACTGAAAGGTCTCGTTGCGGCCGATGATGTCATTCCTGACGGAGTTGATGACGAGGCGCAGAAAGTCGTTGTTCTCGTTCAGCAGACATGACGTCACCATGTACCCCACCTGCCATGCCACGTGTCATGCATGCATGCATGGGCAGGCGCACACATGCACACACACGTGGGTACATGAGCACTTGGGTACAAGCACACACACACAATCAGTGATGCAATTCTTCCTACGTCAGGACACCTGCCACGCCCTGAACCAAGGGAGTCAGCAGGAGGACGCACGCACAGCAGCAGGCAGCAGGCAGCAGGCAGCAGGCGGACGGACGCAGGTGGACGAGCAGGTGGGCACGGGGGAGCAGAGGAGAACGGACCTTTTCCTCGATGTATTTGGGCGCGGAAATGGGGGAGGGCGAGGAGAGGGGGGAGGGCGGGGAGGGCGAGGAGAGCGGGGAGAGCGGGGAGAGCGGGGAGAGCGGGGAGAGCGGGGAGAGCGGGGAGAGCGGGGAGAGCACCTGCTTTTCTGCGTATTTGGGGGCGGAGATGAGGGAGACGGCCTCCATGTGGCCAAAATCGACGTCGTAGCCGAGCATGAATATGTAGAGCAGCTTCCACACATACTTCTTCTTCTCGTACGGCGTTAGCTTCTGAGAGCACACGCACGCACGGACGGACGGGTACAGGCACAGAGAGATACAAACATGAACGTGACGATGTATGGCAACTTATTTCTTCTACACACGTACTTTTACTTCTCGTACGGCGTCAACTTCTGAGAGCTCAGACATGGACACGCACAGACGCGGACACGCACAGACGCGGACACGCACAGACACGGACACGCACAGATACACGCACCCATACGCACAGACAAATGTGATTCAAGTCAAGTCAACACGTGCGATTCAACTCAGTCAAATCAAGAACTGTGAGTCAAGTCAACACGTGCGAGTCAACTCAGTCAACGCAAGGCATGTGACCTGGCAATCCAGCTCTCCACACACAGTATCGCCTCACTTCTTAATCGTCACCTTATCTACGATCTATCAAGCTGACCGCTCTCATCAGGCTATCATCGTGGCTTTACGATATGCGGGGGTTCGATCTAAACTGAATGGCCTAATCCAACCATGTCGCGGCGCATCGTGAAAGTTGATGCCTAGCATTCGACTTTCCAGACTTTTACGACCCTACTACAGCGAGTTGACTTTACGAAGTTACCACTGCGAAAGACCACGGCCACACCGCCGTCTTACACGTTCAGCCTTGAAATGCGTGCGAATGTTCGCGAGTTCCTTGTCGACTCGTAGTCGCTCCTGCTCCTTGTTCTGACAGTTTCGAATATCGGATATGAACACCGACAAGCCGCGCATGCTAGAGGTCGCCATGGCGTCGAGCCGGCTAAGAGCAACGGGGATTCTAGCTGACAGCACGACTGGAACACAGGATGATCATGTGACATTCCCGGTGAGCAGATCTTGAGGGCGTGTCCAGCGCGTACATTTTGGGAATATTAGTACCTTCACACGTTTCCCGGCTCAAAAAATCTCACTGTACCAAAAAACGAATATAAGGTGAGTCGAGTCCGAAGGATTGGGCCTTCCAGCGCGCGGACACAACCCTCTGCACACAAATTTCTACAGTTCGTGGAAAACGAGGTAACTGGTTGCCTCGTCTATCATCGCACAGAAATTCACGCACAAGCGAAAATTCCACGCTTGAACGAAAATTACTGTAGCGGGCAGGACGCAATGCTGTACCCTTGTTCGCGCGCACACTGATACCAGTAACGTGTGTTAGACGATTCGTCGTACGCGCAGCGGGCGTGCCGTCTTGTGAACGGAAGCTGATCGTGTCCAACCTTTTTGTAAAATGCAGTGTTACAATAGGAAATGTGGTAACTGAATGGGTTTATGAACTGTAAATGTACGCGCTGGACACGCCCTGAGAGAACTGGAGTTCTGGAGGGCGGGTCCAACTCGTCACAGCTGTGTCAAAATCTGTCAGGTAACCATCTGTTGTAGGGTAACCGCGTCAGACTTTTGACAGCCTAGTTGTTATGAATTAACTTACAAAGTGCGCAGAATAACGAATAACGAGCCTCTGGAATTACTAAATGTCATACAATGAAAAGTGACGGGTTTAAATAGGGGGAATCCTGGGCAGGCGACGACGTCGGACGAAGGTGGCTCGGCTCGGAAATGGTTGCGATTGGTGCGGGGGCGACTCGGTCGTGGGTTGGGTGCGGAATTTTTGGCCGAACTTGTTGGAATAACCGAAATGTTATTATAACATTCACGAAGGCTCTCTCCTAGCGCGCCACTTCATAACGAAGCAGCGCCACTGTACCAGTACCGAAATAGCTCATATAGAGCATGCGGCAGCTCGAGAGTTACTCGAAGGTCAAAAGTCGAAGTTAGGGCGTATCCCTGGGTGGTGGCAGGGCCACTGTAGCTGGCAAGGTTGGTGGCAACCTACCCAAAAATACAGGGGCCCGGAAAATGCGCATGCCACCAACAGTGCCAGCTACAGTTGCCCTGCCACCACCCAGGGATACGCCCTTAGTCAACGGTCGTGACTGTTGATCATCCAGTAACCGTACTCAGAGGTTAAACACTGCAACATGGTAACTGTCAAGTAATAGTCGCGGTTACTGTAGCAATCCAATATATTTAATAAGGGAATGTACCCCTCAGAGTACATATCTAGCTAGATTGTTACCGTAATACCCCGGATATAAGCGCACCTGCGCTTATAATAAAACAGTGTTTTTTTGGGGGGTGTGAGAAGAAACGAGGAATGAATGACTAAGGGAAAGTTGGGTACAAATGTGAACCCTAGAAAACTGTACCCCATATGTGCTACCCCACTATAGCCTACAGTACCTATGTCATATAAATCTGACACACCCCCATAGGCAAAGTGGGGGAGAACAAGGGGTCACAAGACCAGTCAAGCAAAGCAAAGCAAGCTCAGGGTGGATCACAAAGTCACCACACATTCCGAGCACAAGTTCAAGGCCACAAGGCCAGTTCACATGCAGGACTACATATACATATAAGGCTAGACAAGCAAGAGCAGGTGTATATATATATGCATCAGTACAAACAAGGTCAAGAGGTGAGCAAGTGAGGCAAGGTGGGCACAAGACCCAGCTGAGTACAGAAGCGCTGATGATCACAAGGCGCAAGTGCCTTGGTGAAGATATCAGCAGTGTTGGCCTGAGAGGCCACGTACGCAAGCCGCAGCTGACCACGCTGCTGTAGCTCACGAGCAAGGAAGTAGCGGAGAGCAATGTGCTTCGTTCTGTGCTCCAGTCTCTGCTCTCGACACAAGGCCAGCATGGCCTTGTTGTCTACGTACAGCACTGGAGGAGAACGAGGCGGCTCTCCGAGGTCAGTCAGCAGGTAGGTGAGCCAGCGAAGCTCCTGTGCAGCCATGGCCCCGGCGTAGATCTCAGCCTCACAACTGGAGCCGAGAACAGAAGACGAGCGGGTAGCCCGCCACGAAACAGAGCCGGAACCAAGGCTGAAGGTGTAACCCTGTGACGACCGCTGCGTAGCCTGGTCGTCAGCCCAAGAAGCGTCTGCGTGCCCAGTGAGGACCACTGGACTCTGCCCTCCAAGCACAAGCCCCATGCCCGACGTACTGCACAAGTAACGCAACACCCTCTTCGCTGCAGCCATGTGCTCCGGTCTGTGTCTCCCAGGAGCAACATAGCGTGCGAGAATGCTAAGAGGGTATGCAAGGTCAGGTCGTGTGCAGGTCATCAGGTACATGAGGCAGCCAACAAGCTCTGGGTACGGGCCACTCGACTCTACGGACTCATCCGAAGGCAGAGCTGAGAGCGAGTGGCGAGTAGGCAGAGGAGTGGCCTGAGGCGAGGAGTACGTGAAGCCGAAGCGCTGAAGGACCTGCTGCACCATGTGTGACTGAGTCAGGGTAATGGTGCGGCGTGCTCTGTCCCGGGTGATCTGCAAGCCAAGGTAGCTGCGCAGTTCACCCAGGTCTGTGCACGTGTGTCTCTTCTGCAGCTCGGACTTCACGTGGGCGAGTCCAGCAGTGTCAGCTGTGGCAAAGACCAAGTCGTCAACGTACACGAGGATGTAGAACGGCGGCAAAGAAGTGTCGGTGCGCAGAAACAGCGACGGGTCGGCAGTAGAGGGAGCAAACCCAAGAGCCGCAAGTGTAGTCCTCAGTGTGTCGTGCCACTCACGCGGTGCCTGGCGGAGACCGTAGACTGGCCGCCGGAGGCTCCACTGGGTGCCAAGAGGAAAAGACCCAGTGAAGCCAGGTGGGCGACGCAGCCAGATCTCCTCGTGCAGGCTGCCCTGCAAGAAAGCAGTGCTGAAGTCAAGAGAGTGCAGCTCGTAGTCGCGGTGAGCAGCTATGTGCAGCAGTACCCGAAGAGTGGTCATCTTCGGGGTGGGAGAGAAGGTCTGAAAGTAGTCAACTCCCTGCCGCTGACTGAAGCCACGAGCCACGTAACGCGCCTTGAAGACAGGCGGAGAACCCGGCGGTCGCTTCACCCTGAAAATCCACATGCCACTGACGATGTTCGCCCCAGGCGGGGGAACCTCGTCAACGTAGGTGCCTGTGGACTTCCAGGAAGCCATCTCTGTGTCCATAGCTGCCTGCCACTGAGAGGAGTAGGGACCCTCTATCGCCTCCGCGTAAGAGGGCGGAGTCGGGATGTCAAGTGCATCCGGGTCTCCCTCAGGGGTAAGCAGTACGGACACGAGATGAGGTGAAGCAGCAGCCAAACACTGGAACTCCTCCTGCCTGTCCTCAAGGACGTCCGTGCCAAGGGCACACTCACCCCCGACGGACGGAGGACAGACAGACTCAGACTCAACGACAAGACTAGCAGCGTAGTCTAGACGACAGCGAGCAGCAAAGTCGACGAGCTCAGCAACTAGGGCAGACGCAGCAGTGGACTCAAAGGAAGGGTCAGTGACAACAGTAGCAAGGAGACGCGTGACAGTCGGACTGGCAGCACGAAGGGAGTCCGACTCCGGGTCAGCAAGAGCAGGAAGAGAGGACTCAGGAGGAGAAGGCAAAGGGGCACGCAGAGGAGCAGTGGACGGACGAAGAGACATCCGGTGCGTGCCAGGGACAGGAGGAGGACGCTGACGCGAACCACGACCACTAGTGCGAGCAAGACGGACAGGCGACGCAGGGCGAGATGCAGGCTCACGACGCTCAGCCACACCTCCAGTAGGACCAGTGTAGGGAGAAGGAGCGGGCAGTGGGGAGGTCGGCTGTAACTGTAATTGTGACGGGACAGGCTGTGGACACTGTAAGGGAGGAGGAGGACCAGTAGAAGGCGGGAGACCAAGAACCTGCTGAAGGAGCGGAACGAAGTACGGCCGAGGCCGCGCGGCGACTCCAGACACAGCAGGGACAGCACCAGTACCCCCAGCGGCAGCACCAGCGCCAGCAGCACCTCCAGCTCCAGTACCTCCAGCAGCACCAGTAGCACCCCCAGCAGGACCGCCTCCAGGACCGACAGCAGTAGCCTCAGCGCCAACACCCTCAGCAGCTCCAGCTCCAGTCGTACCCGCAGGCCCACAGCTCCAGTACTCCCAGTACGAGCACCTCCGGGACCCGCGGCACCAGCACCCTCAGCAGCCGAAGAACCTCCAGC